TGCCCCTACGGCTCCGTGCTTGAGGCCGCGGACGGCCTGCCGCTGGTGCTGGCGGTGGGCTCGGACGCCCAGTTCCGACAGCTGTGCGAGCTCCTCGGGTGCCCGGAGCTGGCGTCCGACCAGCGCTTCGCGAAGAACAAGGACTCGGACGGCAGTCAACCCGCACAGTAAGGATGATCGGAGGAGGAGAAGCGCCATAAACGTGTAAATGTTTTGCGCTCCGCGCGGAGTTCTTGGATCGGCGCATGGGCCCTCCTCTCCTGGCGGCGCCTCCGGCGCCGCCACCAGCGTGCTCCGCGCGCCAGGGGGGGGGTCCAGCGCAGATCCCAGAAAACCGCGCGGAGCGCCAAAAGTTTGTTCATGTGTTTTTTCCTTCTAGATGAGCGACTTTCCAGTATTCCCGTTGCATCCCTCCCCCCGCCATCCCTGTCCAAGAGCGATGCGCAGGGCTCGCGGGGCGCCCGACCATGATGCATCTTTTGCCGCAGAGTGTATTTCTTCTGTGTTCTGCACGGGATGAGGGGCCTGCGCGCAGCTGGCAATAGGCCTGCCCCTGCCAAAAAACACTGCAAAGTGATCGCTTGGTGCCCGTGCATACTGCAGATTTTGCCGCAACTTGTGTTGTGTATGGTTTGTTTATCAGGGATGGTCTTGGGGGTGGTGGTGTGGTTCTGGGCTCGCCGCCAGTCGTGTGGGGGAGGGGTGTGTGCTAAGAACGGAAGCTATAAGCCCTTCCCCGAATGTGAAGACGAGAAAGAGGAAACGTCCTAAATGGCTGGTGGGATTCTGGTCAGAACGCACCCCTTGAGAGGTCCAGGGTCCAGGGAGTACGTCGCGGTATCGGTACCCCAGGTCCCCCCCAGAGGAGCGAAGCTAGAATCGCGTTTCGCGCATCGCGGCTTGGTTCGGAGAGGCGGCCTCCTTCAGGCTCCAGGGCGGCTCGAGGGCGCGAAGACAATCGCGCATTGAGCATCGCGAGGCGCGATGCGCGAGCTTGGGTGGCCTGGGTATCTCTTGGGTTCCCCAAGGACCGCGTGGTTCACCGCGCGCAGCTGCAGCCGCTGCTCCGGGCGCGGGTCGCCGCCGCGGGGCCGCGAGAGGCGTTGCTGCGGGAGTGCTCGCGGCGCAAGATCCCGGCCGGCGCGGTCAACGACATGGCCGCGGTCTTCGCGCAGCCGGGGGCGCAGGTCGTCAGAGGAGGAGGTACCCGTACCGCTGCCCCCCTGGGAGGCCTTCCTTGGAGGCCCTCGTCGCCACCGCTGGATTCGCCTCGAAATCGTGTCAGAACGCAGCCTGGGAGAGGTTGGGGAGTAGCTGTGTTGGTACCTTTCGAGTAGGGGATCGACTACAGAATTGATATACCCCAGAATTGATTTTCTCGTCGAACCTGCGAAAATTACGTTGAAAGCTCGTGGATCTACGGAATAATCTTTCAATTTATCGTAGGTTCGACTGTAAGTTACTTCATGGGTAAATCAATTCTGTAGTGGAGCCCCTACTCGAACCTTCTGGTTTCCCCAGGTCGGGGGGGCCCAGACAGGCACAATAATCGCTCCAGAGCGTGCCGGAACGCTCTCTGAGAAGGCCGCGGCACCCGCTGCATCCTCCAGAACCGCTTTTGGCCTCGGAGGTTCCTGACTCGTCCCTGTCCGATTCTGTCCCTGTCCCCACCACCCACCGAGCCACCCCAACCCAACCCGAAGGCCCCAAGTTGCCCTTCATTCCCACTGGGAATGAAGGGCAACTTGGGGAGGCTGATTCGAGCCGCGCAAATTGCGAAGACTCAGTCTGTGTCCGGTCCCGGTTCTCGGCTCGACTTGCTCCCCGAGGGCCTCCGATCCTGGGGGCACCTTCCCCTGGGGGGCACTTCCAGCAACTCCCGACCCAGTGGGGGGGGGGCGTCGTGGAAAACCACGCCTGTCGAGCCCCCCCCCCCCCCGACCCGAACTTCGGCTCCTCGTGTTAGGCTGGGGTGGTCTGGTGGGTAGTCTCAGGAGGGGAAAAAACACACAGACACAATTAATCGTCGATCCCCAGGAAAATATGGGAAAATATGGGAATTGGTGGGCAAGACAAAAACTCAGAAAACATAGGAAAATATGGGAAATATCTTTATTTGTGTGTATTTATTTGTGTGTTTGTGGGCCCCTTCATAGTCATGCCCTGGCGTCGTCTCTGCAGGCGCTGGTGGTGCGCGGCGGGGAGGGCCAGTTCCTCGGCACGAGCGAGGTGGCCTGGACGGGCGCGGGCGCGGCGCCCCCGGGGAGCGCCGCAAGACCGCCCCCGCTCTACGGCCAGCACACCTCCGAGGTGCTGCGGGAGCTGCTGGGGCTCGGCGACGCCCGGATCTCCGCGCTCGCGGCGGAGGGCGTCATCCACCTGTGCCCGTGAGGGGTCCCGTCCACCGAGGGGGGGACTCACACAGCGCCGCCGCCTGGCGGGTGGGTCTTCGGGGAACTCGGCAGGCGGCGGACATGGACACAGATATGGACATGCACACGCATGTTTACACACATGTGCACACGTGCTGTATATGATTATGCATACATACATGTATATGTGCATGTGCATGTACATGAAGATACGTCTGTATATATGTGTCCATGAATGTGTTTATGTTTCTGCATAATCTTATTATCAGTATATGTACTCAAGTATGTGTGTCTGTCTGTCTGTATGTCTGTCTGTATGCCTGTCTGTCTGTCTGTCTGTCTGTCTGTCTGTCTGTCTGTCTGTCTGTCTGTCTGTCTGTATGCATGCATGCATGCATGCATGCATGCATGTATGTATGTATGTATTTATGTCTGTATGTATGTATGTATGTATGTATGTATGTATGTATGCATGCATGCATGTATGTATGTATGCATGCATGCATGTATGTATGTATGCATGTATGCATGTATGTATGTATGTATGTATGTATGTATGTATGGATGTATGGATGTATGGATGTATGTATGTATGTATGTGGATATGCATGTGCATGTGTACTTGTGCGTATGTATACAGGAGCATGCAGATGCCTATGCATATATACACGTTTATTCGTGTATGTATAAATATAAATAGATATGCATATGTGTAAATGCCTATGCATACATTCCCCAATCAGAGCTTGCCGATGCAGATTCATATGATTAGGTGAGTTTTGCCACCGCTTTCCGTGGCCCGCCCAGGTGCCCGGATGCCCGGGGGCCCGGGTACCCAGGTGCCCGCTTTGCCTTATAGCCCTACGGCCCTATAGCCCTATAATCCTATAGCCTTATAGCGCTATAGCCTTATAGCCCTATAGCCTTATAGCACTATAGCCCAATAGCCTGTAACCCTATAGCCCTATAACCTTGTAGCCTTATAGCCCTATAGCCCTATCGCCCTAGAGCCCTATAGCTCCATAGCCCTATAGCCTTATAGCCCTGTAGCTCTACAGGCCTATAGCCCTATAGCCCTATAGCCCAATAGCCCTCTAGCCCCATGGCCTTATAGTCCTATAGCCCTATAGCCCAATAGCAAAATACCCCTATAGCTCTGTAGCCCTAGATCCTTATAGCCCTGTAGCGTTAGAGCCTTATAGTCCTGTAGCCCTATAGCCCTATAGCTCTATAGCCCTATAGCTCTATGTTCATATAGCCCTATAGCCCCATAGCTCTATATCCCTATAGCCCTACAGCCCTATGGTCCTGTAGCCCTATAGCACCATAGCCCCATTTTGAACGAATGTGCGCGGCGCTAACGCGAGAGCCATTTTGTGGAAACCACCTGCCCTCCATATGTGAAACTGTTGCCAATTTTTAAGCTTCAGAATCATCAATGGTGGGGAAGTCTTAGGCGAAACGTCTGGTCCGCCCTAAAAACTGGCTTCTGGGTAGGAGAGGGAGAAGTTATTCCCCAATCAGAGCTTGCCTCTGTAGGGGTCCTAGCGGATTCATATGGTTAGGTGAGATTCGCCACCGATTTCCGAGGCCCGCCCAGGTGCCCTGTTGCCTGGGTGCCCGGGTGCCCAGGTGCCCGGGTGCCCGGATGCCCCGGTGCGATGCCCGGGTGCCTTATAGTCTTATGGCCCTATAGCCCTATAGCCGTATAGCCTTATACCCCTGTGACCTTATAGCCTTATAGCCCTATGTCCCCATACCCTTCTAGCCCTATAACCCTATAGCCCAGCAGCCAAATGGCCCTATAGCCCTACAGGCCTCTATTCCTACAGCCCTATAGCCCTATGGCCCCAAAGACTCATAGCCCTATGGACCATGGCCCTATAGCCCTATAGACTCATAGCCCCAGGGCCCTGTAGCCCTATAGCCCTATATCCCTATGGCCCCATAGCCCCATAGCCCCATAGCCTTACAGCCCTATAGCCCTATAGTCCTATAGCCCCGTAGCCTTATACCCCTGTAGCCTTATAGCCCTATGGGTGTATGGCCCTGTAGCCCCATAGCCCTATAGACCTATAGCTCTATGCCCCTATAGCCCTAGAGCCCCATGGTGCCAGAGCCCCATAGCCCCATAGCCCTAAAACCCTACAGCCCTATAGCCCTATGGCCCTATAGCCCTATAACCCTACAGCCCTATAGACCTATAGGCCTATGGTCCTATAGCCCTACAGTCCCATAGCCCTGCAGCCACGTAGCCCCATCGCCCTATAGCCCAATAGCCCCATAGCCCTATAATCCCAACAATACTTCAATGGGTTCTCTTGGATATCATATAGATACGTTCATGTATGTGTTCATACCTACCGATGCATCTTTACATACACACATATATATATATATATATATATATATAAAAAATGCACATATCTGAATACATGTGTGTGCACATATCTGTGTACGTATAAATACACGTATACATGTGTGTGTGCGTGTGCGCATGTATGTGCTTATGTATACGTATATATATATATATGTATATGTCTATGTATGTGTGCATGTATTGTGTAGGTACGTCTGTAGGTGCACATGTATGTGTGTATATACGTATGTGTGTATGCATGTATGTCTGCAGCCAGGTATATCTGCATGTCTGTCCGTACGTATGCATGCATGCATGCATGCATGTATGGATGCACCTATGCATGTATGCATGCATGGATGCACTTATGTATTAATGCATGCATGTGTGCATGTCTGCATGCATGTATGTATGTAAATACGTACGAATGCATGCATGCATGCATGTGTGTAGATGTATGTATGTATGTATGCAGGTATGCATGTATGTATGTGTATGTATGCATGTATGTATGTACGTATGTATGTATGTACGTACGTACGTATGTATGTATGTATGTATGTGTGTATGTATGTATGCATGCATGTATGCATGTATGTCTGTCTGTCTACATGCGTGTATGTACGTACGTACGGACGTAAGTACGGACGTACGTACGTATGCATGCATGCATGCATGCATGCATGCATGCATATTTGCACGCATGCATGCGTGCATGTATGTGTGTATGCCTCTCTGTCTGTCTGCCTGTCTGTCTGTATGTGTGCATGTATGTATGTTTGTGTGTATGTATGGATGTGTGTATGTGTGTATGCACGTATGCATGTGTGTATGTGTTTTTGTACATCTGTATTTATGTACATCACATCTAGGTGTATAACTATATATGCTGGAGTCCGTCCTTGGGGTTGTGTATGTACAAACCAACAATTTATATACATATATGAAGATGGGGAGGGGGTCCGGGGGCTCTGGAGTGCACTGATTTCTCTGCAGGCCGTTTTGGACCTGGCGGGGGTGCCAGAACGCGTCAAAGGCGGGGAAGGGGGGCGACGAGAGGGCCCGAGAGACGTCCAAGAGGGCGCCAAGATGGCCTGAGAGCGCTCCAAGAGAGCCCAAGACCGCACAAGAGCGTTTCAAACTTGGTCCAACATGGCTTGAAGACAGCCCAAGAGAGCTTCAAGACGGCCGAGCTGCCCTCAAAAGGACTCCCACGAGGCACTCAGGAGGCGAAACAAGTAGGTTTTTGGTTCGAGTGTTTTTTGTAAACAGTTTTTTCGTGTTCTTGCTGTTTCGTGCTTCCGACGGTCCATGACAGCCCACGAGGCCCCAGAAATCAGCTCAAGACGGGTCAAGAGGCACTCAAAGAAGGCGCCACAACGGCGCAAGAGAGCCCCAAGACGGCACAAGAGTGCCCCAAGACGGCCCAAGAGGCGCCCAAGTTCGCTTAAGACGGCCCCAAGACGGCCCCAAGAGGGGCCTAAGAGAGAATACGAATCGACAATTCGATCCTTCCGCCCCAAGAGGCCCCCAGGAGGCCCCAAGAGGCCTCAAACAGAGCTCAAGACGCCCCCCAGAGGCCATACGAGGCCAGAAAGAGGCCCAAAAAGAGTCCACAAGAGAATCCCAAACGGCCCCCAAGAGGCCTTCAAAACTGCTTTCAAGAGATCCCCGGGAGGCCTCCCACGAATTCCAAACGAGCTTTCAAGAGGCCTCCAACCCACAACCCAGCCACGGTGGCGGGATGGCCCGAAAGCCACTAGATGGTCCAAGACGTTCAAGACGGCCTCGAGACGGCTCAAAAGGCCCCCAAGATACCCAATAAGCTTCCAAGAGGTCTCCCAACAGAGCTCGAAAAAACATGTATTGTCCATAGGTTTTTGAACAATTTTGGCGTTTCCACCTGTTCCGCTTCCCGACGCTGCAAAACGCACCAAGAGGCTCCGAGGATCGCCCCAAGACGGTCCAATAGGCTTCAAAAGCGCTCCAAGACGGCCCCATAGGCTTCAAAAGCGCCGAAGAGACGTCCAAGACGGCCCGAGAGGGCCCCAACCGCGGCCCAGGATCGGGAACATGAACCGAGAACCCGAGTTCTTCGCCCCAGCAGGAGACCCACAGCAAAAAAAAAAGTCTAATACTTCCTCCTCCTCTTCCTGCTCCTCCGGTTCCTCCTCTGCGGCCTCTTCCACCCTCCCCAACTTCTCCTCATCCTCCTTCTCCTTCTCCCCCCCTTTACCTCCCCTTCTCCCCTTCTCCCTCTTTTCCGGCTACGTCCAGCCGCGGCGAATAAAAGTGCCCCCGAAGTGCATGTTGGGCCTGTCTTAAACCGTCGTGGGTGGACCGTAGGAAGTATTGGCAGCCACTGGGGCCGTCTTCGCGGTTCTTGGAAGCCCCAGAGAAGAAGTGTCATGGAATAGAGATCCCCAAGAGTTCGACCATCCAGCCTACGTAGAACTTGTGCGCGCAAAGCGCGCGCGATGGTTTTAGTTTATATATATACACATTCAAATGTGTGTATATATCTGTGGACCTGAATTTCTATATATATATACACACATACTCATATCCGAGTTCACCCCAATGGGGCGCGTTGATGATCGCGCTGCGCGTGTCGCAGGGTGGGCCGGATAGCTGTCTTTTTTCAGAGCGGCCTCGCGGGGGCGCGAAGATAACTGCGCGTGGTGCATCGCGGGGGGCGATGCGAGAAGCTGGGTGACTTGGATATACACCGCCCCGTGGGATGCCAGGGCGTCGGCTCCCCAGGCGG